GCCAGGCATTCTGCCCAACGACTCCGCGAGCATCCAGGCATACCTGTGCATCGTAGAAGTTGGGGCGATTGAGCCTATCTGACCGGTTTGGGAGACACAGCTGCGGAAGCATTTGTGGCAGTTTGGCGAGGTCGAACCGGTTGGGAAAGTAAAGGTTCAACTCCTTCAACATTTGGCGAGGTCGAACCGGTTGGGAAAGTAAAGGTTCAACTCCTTCAACAACTCTGCCGGTTCAGCTGGCAAGTCTTGTGACGTAAGCTTCGGCAGCAAGTGATAACTAAGGGCGTAAAGCCCAGCAAGCCGTCCGTGACCAAACCCTGTTCCATTAGGCGACTCACTACGCCCCTGCTCTGAGGTAAAGAGAACATACTGCGTGGTGTCCCCCGCACAAGGCAGGTTCCCAGGGCCTCCTCACCCCAAGCTTGTGAGGATATGCCCTGCCTCCTGTGAAGGTCTTTTCGCAGCTGCGGGGCATTGAATGCCTTTCTGAGAAGGTCCTCGTCCACGAATGTAGATGGTCCGATTTGAAAGTTGAATCTCCATGCGGAGACTCCTTGTGGCCTTCTTCCGTATTGATCTGAGACAGCAAATGTGATGCTCAAGGCATGATGCATCTCCACGTTGGCTCTCAGCACGCTGTAGTTGTACTGAAAGTAGCTGCTGAAGGGGCCAGTGGGCTTCACTATGCACCCTGGCACGCGCGCCAGCCACGCAAGGGTAGGAGGTCGCATAGTCGCACAAGTTCCATATCTCCCGCCGGAGATTGTGCTTCCACACCTCTACCTGGCGCGCAGCCATTTGGAATCTGTCTCAATCAGGAGCAGGACCTTGCAGGCCTCTAAGTCTTACGTTGCAGGCTGCCCGATGCCTTGAGCCAGATAGCCACCACTATTCAGGGTTTAGGGTTTTGGGTTGAGGGTTGAATGTTTAGGGTTTAGGGGCTTGGGGTGTAGGGTTTAGAGGTTTGGGGGTTTGGGGGTTTGGGGGTTTAGGATTGACAACATCCTGCAGGACCCTAAGATTCCTGTACCTTCATCATTCCAACTTGTAGCGGCTAGGTCTAATGTATATACTGAGTCAGAATGATTTTTCTCCATCAACAGTAGAAGTTTGTAAAGGGAAGTGTGGAGGTTAATGTTCGGCCTGCTGGTCCACTTACTATGACAAGTAAAAACTCACATTGCCACGGCTATGACTATCATTTTGCCATTGCTATTGCTGCACTACTGCAGTAATCTTGTCTCACCTATTCGCGACCCAAAGCACGACTTCCAATGTGTATCTGATCGTCACAAAATCATAACTAAACCCTAAACCCTATTGTCAACTCTGCATTTTCTGCTCTTGGTTTCAAAGGCCGCGGGCTACTTTAATAGCTGATGTAAAGATCCGCACAAGTAATTGCTACTGCAACCCTAAACCCTAAACCCTAAACCCTACCTGAGCTCAGTAACACTAGTCTGAGGCTGTCTCATAGTGTAGTCCGCTGAAAAACGTCAAGAGGCCGGGTTGCATTGGTCCACGGGTCAGCGAACATACTTTGGGGTCAAAGGGGTGCAGTCACATGGTGGACTTCCAGTCATGAAAATCACCAAGTCTTGGAAACAACATCCAAACATTGAGCTTTTGTTTCCCGTGCAGTGTTCCTGTTTGGGCAGCTTTCCGTTGGGGTCAAGCGTCTTTGGGGCATGGGGTTTAGGGTTTAGGGCTTACAGTTTTTGATGGACAGTCTTTTGCACAAGGCTCAGCCGGATCATCATGATCCCTGATAGGCTCAGAAGCTACTTGACAGCAAGACAAAGATTGCTCAATGTTGAAGACTTTACGGACTAGTTCACTCCCACTAAACTCCCCCAAATGAATGAAATTTCCCTGAATATGTAGTGGTAGCATGTTGGTGGTATTGGTATGTCTTATGAGGGTGGGAAGCCTGCAATTATGAGTCCCGATCTAACGCTTGTATACCATCAGTTCCCATTTCGCTGAGGATAAGTCCCAACTCATAGCCCTTGACACTACCATAGCTTCATGTACCTTCCATGTGCTCTCTCATTCTCCTATATACACTTACAGATTAATGAGACCCTCAGAGACCCTAAGCCTCAAACCCTCAACCCCAAACCCTTAACCCTAAATCCAAAACCCTAAAACCCAAACCCTCAACCCTTAATGAGTGAGAGTTTAGGGCTTCATTCGTGTCATGCCTTGGCTTCAAGCCGCTGCAGAGATGACAACAAGTTCCCGGAACAGAACAAGAACAGGCTCGGCAATGCGAACTCAAAGCCGGAAGGCTTCAGAGTTTAGGGCTTAAGCTTTAGGGTTTAGGGTTGGGGTTATATTGGGGTAATATTAGGGATATATTGGGGTTATATTGGGATAATGGACAAGAAAATGGAAACTATAATATTGGTGTTATCTAGAGGTTACATAACCTGCGGAACAAATTACTTTGATCATACATCTTGGAATTTCCTTGGGATGCCATACCCGAATTGATAAGGCATTCCTTTGTTGCCCAACCCTAAACCCTAAGCCCTCACGTCCAAACCCTATACCCTAAGCCCTAAACCCCAAAACCCTAAACCCTACACCCTAAACCCTAAACCCTAAGCCTTCACGTCGGCAAGTCAAGCCCTTGAACGTCACGGCAAGTTGCTTGAGGCCCTTGGCAATGGCTTTGCGCTCCTGCGGCTCAATGGTCTTTAGGGTTTAGGGTTTAGGGTTTAGGGTTTAGGGTTTAGGGCTTAGGTCAGGTGAGTCGTGTTCTTCTTGGTGGTTGAACCTAGTAAGATTATATTCCTTATAGAAAATACTATACCCCAAAAGGAGGATATAATCTTAACTCTATATTGGGTACCATAGTATCCCCAAATAAAATACTACTCAGGTGGATTGCATGAAATCACAGAGGAAGACAAGTATAGCAAAACAGGAAGATGTCGATCATGCAGGATTTTACATAGAGAGCATGTAGTAACATGCGAATAGCACCATACAAATATCATGCAGGAGTTGTAGAAGATGTCTCGCTATTAGTTGGCCATGCAGAGAAAAGGCAAGATAAATGGCAATCCCACTTTCAGAAAGTTCAGAAAGTTTTAGCAGATCTCCATGCAAGAACGGAAGCAATCGCATCCCAAGTTGAGCCAAGGACCCAACTGAGACCCTGTTTGCTGCAGGCAGTTAAGGGTTTGGGGATTCGGGTTCAGGCAGGGCTTGTTGTGGACGGCGGTATATTCCTATATCCCCATGCAAAACTAAAGCCCTTAATCCATCCAACGCAGAAGCCCCGATCGACGCCAAATGTTGCACTGTAAACTGCCACGGGAATACAAGTCTAGGAGCAAAATCCAACCATCGCAACTCAACCAACGCACGTGCCCTTCACCCAGTACTACATGAGGCCGAGAATACTGGCAAAACAAAATAATTTAGGCACCCGTATGATAGGACACCAAAAGCAGGCATGTTGAATATCGGAAAAATGTCCCCGTAGCAGCCCGACTGAACCTGCTATGACCCCAACACCATCAGTAAGAGACGTCATACAACTACTGTGCCAGAATTATGTAATATGCTGTTTACACCCGGATTCCGCTATAGCAGCCCACACAGTTAGGGTTTGAGTTTTGACCACGCCCCAGAGAGCTCCCGTCGTATCCCGTGGTGGCCTGTGCCTGCTCATGGACATCCTGAAACAGGACAACCCTGAACCAGAATGGGGCCAAAAAGCCCAAACCCTGAACCCTGAGAGGGATGTGAAGGAGCTGTCCAGCTGGCTCTCAATCATCGTAAGTCTGAGGTTCTTCTTTCTGGAGTCTTTGGTCTTAACCCACACCTGCCAAGGTGGAGGGTTGACTTACTGGCGCTGCAGGGGAGTGGTTGAGTGAATATGGGAACCACTACAGGGATGATTCAAAGGGATTATTGGATACAAACCACTTTAAGGTTACAGTTCTCGATTCCAGAAGGCTTTGGTTGCAGAGCTGTATATGCTGAAGCATGGGGTGAAGTACAGAATTTCTCAAAATGGGGTACCCTATGGACCCTGGGGATCTATGGGGCTTATCGAGGCATGATGGGGTCCTTAGGGGTGATGCAAGGATTGTTTTGAGAACTGCCCCAGTAGTCCTAGCGCTATTCTGACTGAAGCTCTGAAGGTGTGAACATATGATGTAGACATTGTGTAGGGATTAGGGTGTAAGACTAACCGCAGCTGCTTGAGCGAACTTGACGGAACGAGCGGTCTACAGTCTACAGCTTGCATAGGCCCTGGATGTTTAACCTCCAGGTCTAGAGCACAGCGACTTTGTGTTAAAGGATGTGCCGGATCGCATATCCATCTTGCTTACTTCCACCACTTGGACCTGTTGTTACTGAACCTAAGGCAGCTTCCTGCATGACTGATTTTTGCCCTGGTGTTATGATGGTGTCCAGAAGAGGGAGAGCAGTTCTGCTGGCATCACCAGCGCTTCAGAAGATACATCAAGGTTTAGGGTTCAGGGTTTCTCGAAACTGTACAAGGTTCATGTCTGAGGTTTTGGGCGGAACTCCTGGCGGAGCTTTTTGGGGGAGTTACGTGTTCAGTTTTGGGGCCTACGCACTTTTTTAAACTATTCTGGGCTGCAGGGTTCAGGGCTCAGGATTCATGAACTTACATTCTCTCCAAAGCCACACCATGCATTCTCGATCCTGCAACAGGGATTACAGCCCTCACAGTGGGTGTCGGAGGGTGACGGTCCGAAACTCTAAACCCCTAAACCCTAAACCCTAGACCCCTAGACCCCTAAACCCCCAAACCCCTAAACCCCTAAACCCAATACCACTAAACCCAGTAGAGAAGACTACTTTGCAAAGCGTTGAACAAAAGCCTCACAAGCTGGAAGCTGAACGCCTCATGAGCATTGTCCCAAACACAGCTCATGTTCCTAACCGGCGTTTAGGCTTTAGGGCTCAGGGTTTAGGGTTTGAGGTTTGGGGGTTTAGTGTTTAGGATTTGGGGGTTTAGGGTTCAGGGGTTCAGGTTTTTTGGGTTCAGGGCTTACCTAGACCCTCCAATGTAGTTTTTTTTGGGGTTTGGTATGGATTTGGTTAGGATTCTTAGTAGGACTACCAAAAAGGTACTACCTTGAAGGGTCTAGGAAGGTCCTGTAGCTCTTGCAAATCACGAAGCCTGAAATAAGGCCATACTGACACAGCACGATTTGGGGTGCAGCTGCCCAGGAAAATCATTAACATGATTGCATGATGAAGCACAAATAATGAGCTCCGAAACCTTGCATACACACAAATGCCAGTTCGAGTGAGCATTGCATCATGAACCCATGAACCCCTTATATGTACCCTCATGAAACCATTTCAGATAGGCCCTAAACACTAAGCCCGCAACTTGAAACCCTCAACTCTTCAGCAGAGCTGGCCGGAGCACCTTTACCTTGTCGCCCTTCTGCAGAAACTCGCGTGCCTGGCCAATAAGAATCAGAGCCTTGTAATTCATGGCACCAAACGGTTGAAAAAGGGGAGCTGCACACATACCATCAGAGCAGCGATGAATGCTTTACATCTTTTTACAAACGCAGAGACAACACCCTATACCATTCATCCCATGATGAGATTTGATTGAATGTTTACTGCTGGTTGATCTCTTGCTGTTCCAAAGCCTAGAACCGATTGCAAATACAAGCTTAGCAAGATTCCGTCTGCTGCAGGCTTGTAGGCAAGCGGTAAGATCAGAGAAATGCTTCAGGTGCGTCATACTGTGGAGGAAATGTTGCACCACCATTTGTTTAGTGTACCCTTTGCTACATTTATGTCACATGGATACTTTCTGATGGTTTAGCCACGTATGACAACTCTGCGGTCCCAGGTCGCTCAGAAACAATCCCCAGACCTCGTAGATGCACTCTCATCAGAATAGAAAATGCCCAATATGCGGACATTGTACACTAGCGGAGTAATTTAAGGGCTTTAGGGGGCATTGCTACCCCCAAACCCACCCAAAATAATTCAGGAGCTTCCATGCCATTGCATACCCCTATCCTAAATTGGGCCCGGGGGGACCCTCAGATAGGAGCCCTGTCTAATCGCGTCACGGGCACATCGTTGACCCATTTCTTGTCCTGCCGCAGGGTATCTAAGAGACTGCTTGGGGGCCAACATCTAGCGGCAAACTGCGTCTAAACCCTAAACCCTAAACCCCTTTGAGTTGAGCTTGCTGGCGTCTGCTGTGGATCCTGCAGCCCCAACGCCGGCTCTGGGAGCTGAATCGTCGATGCCCAACCGGTAACAGTCTATACGCCCAGGTATACCCAACCAATTGTTGTTTTACCCATTGGGGTAATATTGGGGTTATATAGGGATAATGGAAAAGAAAATGGAAACTACTATTTAGTGTTTAGGGTTTAGGGTAACATTAAGTGTATATGGCAGCTTCCGAAATAGGGGGATGCCAATGTAGACTCTAAACGGCTATAATCTATATATTATTAAAGGGACCCCGACAAGGTACCCCTAATTTTGGAGAACCCCTGTTTGATTCTACCATAGATATACCAAACTCATGTTGCCCAGGCTTTGTGCATTAGGTGGGGACAAAAACCTGCCCTCACCACGCCTGAGCCCTCCGCTGGCCTCAAGGACTTCTCATTTACTTAATGGGGGTTAGTAGAGAATAAGGGAATCTATTATATAGGGCTTATATAAGGATTATGTAGGGATTGTCTAGGGATTACATTCGCTTATTCCCTAAGAACCACCAGTGATTTTACTACTCGTTTAACCTTCCGGAACCCCTTCGCTTAGATGATTTTTTCCTCGCACTCTCTGACGGTGATAACTACATCTTCCTTCACAACTTCTCACACGAGCTACAATCAATACTACCCAGATAATTACTAGGCATAGGTTCCTTTTTCGGGACTATAACAAACTACATACAAGCGGGATCCCCATGTCCACTGTTGTTAAGGGTCCCTAAATAAGGCCAATATTGACAATACTGTTGATGGAGCCTAAAGTACCGTAAGTTGTAAGGCTTTAGGGACTTAAGGTGGTGCAAGATTTCATCCATCATCAGTAGCTCAAAGGATGGAAAAAGCCCATCGGAAGAGCACTGAACAGAGGCGTGGGGTCAGTGGTCACGCCGAGGCTCAACTTAGTAGTTTCCATTTTCTTTTCCATTCTCCCAATATAACCCCTACATCCCATATACCCAATAGTCTATTCCTAAACCCTAAACCCTATGCACCCCATATACCCTATACACCCCATATTTACTCTACTTGTTTCTCGGAGGTTCCTATGTGGCTACCGGTACTTATGTGATTATCAGTGGGGTTACAAGTAGGATAACTAACTATGCTGATAATCCAAACTTGCTTGGGGGTGCTTCTGACCCCAGAAACCACCAGTGAATCTCGAAGTGAGAGTCTGAAACATCGGGGTCCGCTATCTGGCTCTTGTGGAGGAACGCGTACTTGGCAGCCCCAATGTTCACATCGGCGCCTGGCGCAGTCTCAGGAACACGTTCACGCGCACTTCCTTCGATAGCATGTCGGATGCACGCTTACGTGATATGACCCAGAATTCAGCAGTCATGTGACCAAAAAAAACTTTGCCAAATAAATCAACAAAAGTTGAGCCATACCCAGCTGGCTTGCCTGCCCTGTCACACTAGCATTCCGCGGCAGTATCCCCAATTGTTAAGCCCATATGGGCTCCTACCTGTTTCCTGTGGTATCTAGTAGGTATACCAGGCCCATAGTTCCAACATGAGGTCCATGCGCCTCACAACCTCCAGTCCAGAGATTGGTCCCCTGCCAGCAGTCTAGCTGCCTAGGATCCCAAAGCACTACTCCTTTTGCCAGGTCCTGGCAGGGCCCATTCTTCCTAAACTACTAGGATCCAACAACTTTTGGGCCCAGGAGCTCTTCCACATTTTCTGCTTCTTTTGAAGGTTTAGGGTTTAGGGGTTTAGGGTTTAGGGGTTTAGGGTTTAGGGGTTTAGGGTTTAGGGCTTGACTTCACAATCTTATGTCTGCTCATCCCCCAGCGCAATCCGAACTGAGTTCAGCGTGCAAGGCCCCACACACCTCCAAAAAAAAACGGAACCCCTATACAGCCCTTAAGAAAGGCAGTAGTCTTTGTAGAGCCTCGTGGCAGGCTCCAGGTTAATCTTGGGGGAGAACATCTTGAAAGCTTGTGGTCTCTTTCGTGAGCGAAGCCACAGACTCTCAAAGTGTTGAGAAACCATGTGGATCAGTAGCTTACTGGGGTGTCGAGGAGTAAGGAACTTACACCCTATTAACCACCAGAAAGGCTAGTAGATCTATAATCCCTGTAAGCCATATGATGACGCCAGGTATCACCATTACTATCCGACTTACAAAGTACCCCTGACCCTCCAAGCTGAAACCACTTCAACAACATCGTGGGATATATCCGAGGACACAGGCAAAACTCTATCAATCAAGTTGTTCAGTATGGTGCAGAAAGCTCTAAGAACTATAGGTAAGACTCGAAGGGTATTGTTACCCAACGGGGACTTCGCCAGTATACGTCTAACCCCTATACGCCATGAGAGAACTCCGGTTATCCCCATTATTGACCTACTTACTAAGGCAGTCCCCTAAACCCTAAACCCTAAACCCTAAACTCCAAACCCTTGGGATGCCCTCTAAAGACAAAACCATGAGAGGCCTGCGTTGCAAACAGCCACAACAGTGCCGTCGAGCTGCTGCCCTATCCTCCGGTGTAGGCTTCAGGCTTCAGGGTTTATTGTTAAGGCTTCGGAGTGTAGGGTTTAGGCTTTAGGGTTTAGGGGTTTTCTGGTCCCCCTTACTTCAACAATGGTTTTGGGATAAGGGTTCCGGGCGTAGGGTAAATCCCTGCCACTTATGTTCTTTGAATTTCTCACACCCCACGCCCTGATACAAACTATTCAGTATACTAGACCTTCTAGTAGCCCAATTTGTCGAGAGCAGTATTAGGGAGTCGGGGGTGTTTCACATTCGGGGAGAGGATAGTTAATCAGGAGTCTTCTGCAAGCAGCTTTCTCAAGATCAATGCTATTCTGTGGGGAAAGAGCACATGGGTGCCCTTTTCACATTTCCACATGTAGAATTTTGAGCCCTAAGCCCTCAAACCCTAAACCCTCACACCCTAAACCCTCAAACCCTAAACCCTAAACCTTGGGATCTGCAATGCGAAGGTTCGTCTAACCAGACTCGCCTCTGGTCAGTAGGGAATGAGGGAATCGAAAAGAAGATGGCTTAATAATGGGGTTCTTTACGGGTTTATAGGGGTTATATGGGGGTTATATGGGGGTTATATACTTATATAGGGGCTATACAGGGGTTATACGGGGGTCTATGGGGGTGATATACGGGGGTTTATAGGGGTTATATGGGATTCTATAGGGGTTTATAGGGGTTCTATAGGGGTCCTATAGGGGTTATAGAGGGATGATGGAAACTAAAATGGAAACGACTTGGGATTACATATGGGCTAGTGTAAAGATCCATGGCTTCGTTTCCGAGGTTCAGGGTTGGCTGACCTTTCGGAGGAGCCTTCAGCTTTCATGCAGGCTGCAAAAGGAAGTCCTTCGATAATGGCTACATAAGAGTTTTCTAAGATTAATCCCTCCCCCCTAAATTTCAAACGCCCCACTCCACCCCCATGGGAGGTTAAAAATGAGGGGGACGCGATTACCACGATACAGTCCTCGAGGGAGCCCATATCATCCCTTCGCAAACCCCACTTGTTCGAACAGTCCACGTAGGCCCATATTTTTGAGAAGATACCACGAACTATCCCCCTGGCCTCAAACCCTGACACAATTAAGGCTGCGGTCCTAAGTTTCGTGGGACCAGGTAAGCGATAGCAATCGTAGTAACCATGGCTCATATTCACTGCAAGTACCACCAAATGTAGCAATGAAGATGCGGGCAACGATCGCAACAGCGATTGCTTCACCAGCCTAGCAGAATCTGCATCAAGTCGATGCTTGAAGATATGGAGGCTTTCCCATAACTCGCGATACCTTTTTATGTGGGGGGGTCCCCATAAAAACAGTGAGTATAGGCCAATCGCTTCCCCAC